TTTTATTATTATTGGTCAATCGTGATCGTGTGAAAATTGAAACAATTCACATGATTGTCGGGTATAACCTACCGGCATCATATCATATTGAGGAATCGATCTTATTGTAACGCAAGGGGTCTGCAACAATCAAATAGATTATGCATGCAGAATTTCTATAACTTTCCAATCTATTCCGTAATACATTTATCAAGTTATTCGAACATCTATATTATACAGGTTGTACGAATTTTGACACACCATCTAAGTATTTTGGCCTCGGTAGAGGCTGATATAATACTAAATGTTGTGCGGATAAAGTTTCGGTCCGGAGTTGATTAAAATAAAGTTAGAAATATGTGTTATAAGATGATTGACCGAATTTGATTTTAAGAAAAATGACACTTTGTACCTGTGCCCCGTAACATAAATAAATTATTATGCATAACGATAAGGCTTGTAAGGTGATACAAATAAATTACGCATACGTACGTACGTAAATAAAATGGCATTTACAAATAGCATTTATAATACGTACGTACGTACGTACGTACGTACGCAAAAAATCTTATTATAAATGAATTAAATACTGTATTATTTCGTCATCTACAAAATTTAAAAATTTATTATGAGAATGTGAACCGAGTTCACAACGTCACGTGCTTACCGCAGTAAATATTTATTTATTTTGCGAATTTGCGATTTTTTATATTATAGTATAATAGATACCGGTACATAATAACTACAACTACCGATTTATAAATTTTAAACTATCGTTATCGTTATTGTTAATTAATTATTCGAGATTCCCTTATGTAGAAAATTATCGCATTCACATCGCCTATATATTCCATCCGCTACTTTTTTACATATCCTACAATATAGATGTGAATGGTGATTGCATTCATCACAGACCTTACATCCGTAATTCCACCCTCTAAAGATATGCCACTTTTCAAAGTGATTTTGTTTATTTGCGAGTATGTTATTCTGGTTTTTCATTGTTATATATAAACAGGAAAAAATATAACGTGGCTAGATTTTTTATACAAATCTGCTTCGTCTTACAAATTAATTGCAGTAGATAAAAAATCTTGAATAAAATATCGAATAACAGCGATATATAAAAACTTTATTAATTTTATAGCTAAGTATATGGAGTAAAAAAATATTAATATTATCGATATTGATCCTGACCCAGCGGTCAGGACATGTGACCACACTAGTGATGTTTGACGAAATTGATTTTATTAGTAGACGAAATTAAACCTGACGAAATGACGAAACTCTTGATGAAATTATTTTGATCTATAATTATTAGTGACGAAATTAATTTTGAATTACAGTAGAATATTATTCTAAGGAGTATACTGTCTAAGTTTATAGAAAAATTTCTTGGTTTTATATGAAATTTTTGGCACAATTGCAAAATGATGAAACTATTCATCAATTAAAAATAATTTTGTCAAGCATCTATAGACCACATGTGATTGGCATAGTAGATTAGTTTTTTTGTTTCAAAACACTAAGTATAATATTATCAATATCCTCCTGCCTTAATTTTGAAATGGTCAAAGCACTGAAAGATTTAACTCTTTAAATTTTTTCTTCTCCAATATTAATAAAGAGTGTATAAAGCTTTTGAGATCTTTCTACTTTCTTCCACAGCGTAATATCCGTAATATTGGGTATTTGTTTTCTAACTTCTTCATTAACTAGTAATAAAGATGCATATAGGAAATTTGATTTCTTGTAATACTCAAGTCATTTTGATAGAGCTTTACCAAAAAGAAATAGCAAGTTATAACATCCCGATTTGTAATTTTATTTTAGGTTTCTGTATGAATTATATTATTATACAAATCAATAAAATTATTTGTATTTTCTTTTTTAGTTACAGAAACTTGTGGAGCTTTGGGTTTGGTAGATAATTTTTTTATAAGATTTTTTAATATATGTGATTCTTTCTTAATCTGCTTTTGTTTCTTACTTGATATTATATCTGTTGGTTTACCAATATGCTTAGATGATAAATTACTTGTAGTAGAGTCAGGTATGTTAGATTCAGAGTTTTCTTTTATGATTGTATCTAGATTCACTAAAGAATTTTTACCAAATATTACTAGGTTTTGTGATTCTTCATCTATACTCATACTTCTTTGTGTTGGAACTTGCATTAGTAGTGACTTTTTAATAATTTCGATTTCTGCATTACAATTATTGATAGGATATGAAAACATAGTTTCTCTAAGGTTCTTAAGACAAAGATGGTGTACAGTATGACCACATGTTAATATGGTGAATAACTTTTTAAGTATGTACAAAAAAATTTCTTCATTGCATATATAACACGAATCTAGTTCAAAAACTTTAACACCGTTTGTAATAGTTTCAGGAGAGTTATTTTTAAGAATATTTAATGTAAGGGTTTTAAGGCAAGTAATATTCATACTTGCAAGTTTTTGTTTACTGGTATATTTCAACCAAATAATGTGTGTTTTATAATGTTAATAATGAAAAATTTACATATTTACCAGATTATATATTATTTTTTTATTGCCTAGAATTATTTGATAGATAAAAGTAAATGGATATAATATCCAAATCAATATCATTACCTGAATTTTAACCAGATAAGTCTTTGCAATTTATAATTTATCTATTCTATTTTCCTTGTTATTAACAAATCTAATTTGCAGATTAAAAAAACAATTTAGAATTTGGTGATCTGTTCATTCACAAATTATTTAGTATAGACCAGGAGAGTTAAAGACTCAATTCAAAGAATCATTGCTTGATCTTTACTAGCAATCTTGAATAAAAATCAAAAACTGTAGTTAGTTTTTATCATCAGAAATTTTTCTATATAAATTGATACTATACTATCCTCAACCTCACTATTTTCTTGTTTAGATATTGAAATAATTGGCTTATCATTTATTACACCATAATACTCAACTAATGAAATGTAACCTATCTTATGTCTATATGCTAATTGTTATAAATATTAACAACCAAAATCATTCCTACCTCCATGTATTCTGGAAGCATAATCAGCTCCTATTTTTCTTAATAAAAATGAGGTAATTTTATAATAACTTAAGAATTATTTAAGTGGTACAACATTAGTATTTTCATTTTTATTCTTTAGCAAAAAAAAAAATCTGTCCGATATTGATCTCTGAATCCAGATAAGTAATTTTCTTGCTTGTATTGAATTTTTTCTATCAAGAGAAATGGCCGGAGTTCTTCTACCTCACCTTTATTTTTTGCATAACCAATACAGTACCAAGAATAGTTAGAATTATACCATGACTTGTGACTTGCTTTGTATCAGTTGATACGAAGATTTTTCACATCTGCTGATCATATACATAGCATTATCATTATATCTATTAGATTTTGCATCAAAGAAGGCTTGGTAATATCACATTCATTAAGTCTTTTCTGAACTTTTTTTAAATAAAAGAACTCAGGACAATCATAACTATTAATTCCACAAAGTACACATTTTCTTGCTTGAATCTGGTTTGCTTCTGTTGCCTCAATAATGAAATAGTCAGCTTCTAAGCTACACAATCTTTTTTGTAATAAATTAAGACAAAAATTTCTTGCAATAGTAATAAAAGCAGAAGAAGCCAAGTTGTATGCTATTTTATTTATCTCTTCAGGTAAAAAATTGTTTTTTATAATATTTCAAGCAATAATTTTGATAGGGTCTCTTTCTCTAATATGTCTTTCAGGAGCTCGAATGAGAATAAGAGTATCAGCTTGCTCCTTACTTAAACCTAATTTTTGAAGCATCTTTTATCTTGCCATCTGAAAGTTTACTAGAACTCTTTGACATAACTACTAAGCTGTAATAAACTAGTTTGTAAAGTCAATTTGTAGTAATTTACAAATGATATAGTGATTTTTGCCATAGTTAGTATAGTAAAGCTAGTATCTTTGACACATATATTAATTGAGATGGTTTATATAAACTATTTTTATCTAATATATATTATAGAGATTCTTTTTTCAAATCGAAATTAATTACACTTTCTCTCCTATACTCAGAAAAAAGAGTTTATATATATCTATAGGGTAACTAGGATATTGATTTGAAATTTACTAACATATAAGATATAATGAAAAAAATTATAACTTTAGGGTGATCCTAGCTATATTATGTATTAAGGTATTATTTTTTCTTAATTTACATTAAGGTTTCACTAAGCTTCTATCCAAATAGATTCTAATACAATTCAGCAGTTACAAGATATTTGCGAAATATGTCAAGTTTGTTTCGTAGTATTTCAGGTGGCAGTATCACTACTGGCTTCTATATATTAAATAAAAAGGCTGTATATTCAGAACAATCATAATTGATATGCTTAGTGATTTTTGAGTAATTTGATAAATCATTAACATATCTATATCTATTACAGATTAATTTACAGAATGTTGGCCTATTTAGATTTATCATCTGGTCAGTCAATAAGTTAAGCACCTTTTTTGGGCTTCCAATTCTTAATTGTTTATTTTATTTATGGTATACATATAGAGCATAAGAATATAGAGTTGGCGTAATATTTTATTGAAAAATTTTTATATTGTCTATATATAGAAGCAAAAAATCCTCCTATATCAAAGCTCTTATTCTATAAAATCTCACCTTATTTGATTCTCATCATTTGGATTGAATACTTTTATATATCTTTCGATAGGTATCTATTTTTCTCGAGTATGATTATTTTTTCTATCTATTCCTTACTATTATAGTTCCTTACATAAAATTCACCATATAGGATAACTTTCTTCTGATTGGTCAATCGCTTTCAATTGTATTTATACAGTTTAAAGTACTTTTTAAGAA